TTGGTAATTATATTTGTTGCAATAAAAGAAAAATGGTTGGCTGGGTGCAACCATTTGTAATCCTAGCACTCTGGATTAATGCCTGTAATCCTAGCACTCTGGGAGGCCGAGGCAGGCGGATTGCTCGAGTTCAGGAGTTTGACACCATCCTGAGCAAGAGCGAGACCCCGTCTCTACCATAAATAGAAATAAATTAATTGGCCAACTAATATATTTAGAAAAAATTAGCCAGGCATGGTGGCACATGCCTATAGTCCCAGCTACTCAGGAGGCTGAGGCAGCAGGATTGCTTGAGCCCAGGAGTTTGAGGTTGCTGTGAGCTAGGCTGACGCCATGGCACTCACTCTAGCCTGGGCAACAAAGCGAGACTCTGTCTCAAAAGAAAAAAAAAAGAAAAAAGAAAAAGGTCAGGTAGGAACAAGTAGCTTTATGTAGAGAAAACAGCTGCCTTTTTTCCCTTGGCCCAAATACTGAGTAATTCATTGAGTTTTTTAAATTAGGTACCCTCTATTGCTGAACTAAAAGTTGACACAGACTCAAAGTTAGATACAGAAGCAAGCATCTAAGAAATGCGTAGGTTTTTGCTGGTTAACAGGAAGTAGGCTTCAACGTACTTTATTATTGGTGGTGATGTAGCCATTTTTTCTTAACCTCCTGAGGATATCTTTTCGCTTATAGTATGTTTTTAAATGTGGATCATGTAGACTTTTATAGCTGGTTTCCAAAAGTCGGCAGTAAGGATCAGTCAAATTAAAACCATAAGAAGGTTGATAAAGCTGCAAACAGATTCAAAAGTATTACAAATGTAAGATGAATAAAATCACACTTTTAAACATCAATTTTTTGAAATTACTAGGATGTTCATTGAAAATAAAGCATGCAAGCAGAATCTGAAGTGAGGGAATACAGACAATGGACTGATTTGGGTAAACCTAACTGCCTTTCTCTTCCTCTGTCCTCCCAGACCTGTCTTAAGGATGTAGGTGGCCTGCAGAATCCCAATTTGTGAACGCTGTGTTCAATCTGCATGTAACTCAACTTCAGTCCAATTCCTGGACACAGACATTGAAAATAACTTTTGAGAAGGAGAGGAGGACAGTGCATGCCAGGATTTAGGAGCCAGATGGACAGAGGCACAGAGGTAAGAATCATCATGATATGTGTGGGTGGGCAGAAGAGACCCCAACCTGTCAGAGTGAAGGCTCTGGTTTGGAGATAAGGCTGGATGTGGTGGGCTGGGAGCATCATGGAGAGGCCTTCTATTAATATCATTAAAGTGAGGTTTAGAAGCTTAAACCCTTTAACTCGTTTAACTCCACTTGGTGTGTGACATTGAAGTAGACATAAAACAATCATAGCAAAGTTTAACAGCAAGCTGAACAGGGTAAGGAAAATCACTTAAGCACTATTAAAAAGCAGTTTACCTTTTCACTTATATTTGTAGTATAGAATACACTATTGCTTCCTGGGATAACCGGCAGTTTGACCCCAAGAGGCAGATCCAGTAGGTGAGATGCCCCGACCTCTGGAAAGGGGTTTTTCTTTGTGCTCTGTCAGATACAATTGGAAAGTCAGTCCAGGAAGTATTCATTTAGTTTAGACCAATCTACTCCCACTTCATGGGCTAATACCTCCAGATAAATCAAAGAACTACACATTCAGGGCTGAAGGAACCTGCTTGGCCTGGCCGGCTGACAGCCTGGAAGACCTCCTGGCTTCCCTGGGTCACCAGAACTATCTCTGGGCTCCGCCCAAGGCCACCCTGCCCAGTGGTGGCCAGTGTCAGCCCCAGCCACCCTCTGGGGGAGCTGAGTGAGACAGTCAAGGACACGCCCCGTTCCCTCCCCCTCACCGAGATCTCCGCCCCGTGGGTCTGCCTGCCCACTCCAGACCCCACCCTGGGGCCAGAAGGGGGAAGAGAGGGGACTGGCCGCCACTCACGGTGCCACAGTGTTCCTTGTCTGCATTTAGGTTGCTGGCGGCCGCCTTTTTGGCGGCGGCTTCGACAGTCTTATAGCAGTTCCTGAGGTACAGCTCCATGGCCACCCGTCAGCCCCCAGGGGGCTGGGGGCTGGAGTCGAAGTCTGTTGTCGTTTCTTCTCTGCACACACACCCTTCTTGCCCTGTGCCCTGATCAGGTCTGGCCTGCCGCCAAGGCCATGGTTACCAGGGTAACCTGTCCCCCAGGACACGCCTCTCACAATGCTGTGCTCCAGGCTGGAAAGCTGATGTCCACAACGGGCGACAGCGTCGCCCCAATGAGCGTCACCGTCGGAGTCAGGGGGGGCTGCGGTGGGGGCAGAGGAGCAGTGACCACGTGGCCTTCCTGGACGCGCATGCGCACGAGGCTTCAGCGCCTCAGAGTTGGGAAAGTGGTCCAAAAGTCTGGGTATAAGAGGACCACGGTTGAGATTTTGTATCTCTCTGAAACCAATCCGGGACATTTAAGCTAAACCAAATGTATCAAGCTGTATCCATGGATTGCTGCTTGTGCTATGATGTCAGTTTGACAAATGTCCGTGAGTAGTTTTTATTAGGGCCAGAGGGCTGGTTTTTTACATCTACCCCTTTTATAGACGCTGCGGCCCTCCATGCCAGTCCCACACAGGACACTTTGGTTTCTTCAAGGGTTCAATGCCTTCCTCTCTCGTCTTTCTCTTTCCTGTCTTGGGCCCATGATCTCTCTTGCCCTGTCTTCTTTTACTCTCTGTTTTCTAGTTCTTTCTTTCTGCCTCCTCATTCAGTCAGCTAACATTTATTGAGTGCCTGCCCTATGCCAGAAAATGGTAAGTGCTGACAATGAGTATAGTGATACAACAGTGAGTAAAACATACTCCCTGCCACCAACAAGCTCACTTGATTGAAAATATATGAAGGACTGAGACTATACCTGCTTGTCAGGAATTTGTACTTTGTCTCCATTATATATATATACATATATATATTAAACTTCTGAAAACTAATGACAAAGAAAAAAATCTTAGAAGCAGCCAGAGACAAATGAAACATTACTTATAGGAGAAAATCAATTCAAATGACTATTTCTCCTTTGAAACCATGGAGGTCAGAAGAAAGTGGCACAGCATATTTTAAGTGCTGAAAGAAGCAAATTGTCCACTGTGAATTCTATACCTAGTGAAAATATCCTCCAGGAATGAAGAACAAATAGAGTGCTATAGTTTGGATGTTTGTTTCTCCCTCAAACCTCATGTTGAAATTTGACCCCCAATGTTGGAGGTGGGGCTGAACAGGAGGTGTTTGGGTCATGGGGGAGGTTCCCTCATGAATGGCTTGGTGTTATCCTCATGGTAATTAGTAAGTTCTTAATCATTAGTTCCTGCTAGAGCTGGTTGTTAAAAAAGAGCCTGGAACCTCCCTGCTCTCTTGTATCCTCTTGCCATGTGATCTCTGCACACACTGGCTTCCCTTCATCTCCATGTCATAGGTGGAAGCGGTCTGACGCCTTCACAAGAAGCAGATACTGTCTCTGTGCTACTCTGTACAGCCCACAGAACTGTGAAGCCGGAAAACCTCTTTTCTTTATAAATTACCCAGACTCCGGTATTCCTTTATGGCAATACAAATGGACTAAGATATAGACGCATTCTCAGATGAGGGAAAACTAAGAATGTGTTGCTAGCAAACCTATCTTAAGAGTGTCTAAATGAAGCACTCTAAGCAGAAAGGAAAGAATAACAGAAGGCGGCTTAGAACTTCAGGAAGGAAAGACCCGAAGAATGGGTAAAAACGTGGATAAGTATAATAGATAATCCTACTTTTCTTGAGTTTCTTAAATCATATGTGATGGTTGAAACAAAAAATATAACAGCATCTATCGTGGTCAATATATTTAAAGAAAATATTTAAGATAATTATTTTTAAAAAATGGAGATGGTAAAGAAAGATAAATGGAAATAAGGTTTCTATACTTCACTTGAAGTGATAAAATATTAATACCAGCAGATTGTGGTAAGTCATACAAAATATAATTGTTGAGATATTGGCTCATAAAATTATTAATTTATTGTATTGCCCAATATTGCTATATTAGAGACAGAAATTATTTCAGGAGTTTTGCAGGGCTTTGTCCTGAAGGAATATGTGAACGTGTTTGTTTGCAAATCAAAGGCTGCCTGTCTTCCGGAGGGCATCTCAAAGGTCTAGTAGCAGCTGCATTCTAAGGTGGCTTCTGCAATTTGAAACCTGTGGTTTTTGCCTGCTTTGAACGACAAGGCAGGTCTGCATGAGCCACAGGATGAGAGCCAAACAAAGAGTGCCCAGCCTGAGAGACGGACACCTGTGGCTAAAAGCAATTAGCCAAAAGAGCCAAGTTCCTGCTTACTCCTGAGTATCTCTCTCAATCCACAATAACAAGATAAAGAAATATGGAGCCGCTATATCTGTGTGTTACTCCTCTGTTAAGTGATAACTATCTGTTAGAACTTAGAAGTTTGCCTTTGAAAGATTTTGTAACCATTTGTTCATATAGATAAGAGTTCATTAAGGAATCTTTGGAAGCCCTTTGAAAACTTTTAACCCCAAACAAACTACTTGTTATTATGTCAACCTGTTACCCCTGACAACCGAAACCTGTAGTTATAAATACCTATGTGAAACTCCACTCCTGGCCTCACAATTGATAGGGATATTGTGTAGTCCCTGAGTACCCTTGCTTTCCTAATTTCTTTATATAAATCTATAAAACTATATCTTCATCTCTGTGTATTCTTTTATTTCCATTATTTTCTATATTCTATTATTTTCTTGTCCTTTGTGGCTACCCCTGCCTAAGGGTTCCGATTTTTTGTGTGGAGAAGTAGCTAATCTCCCTGGGGTAATGACATTAAGAGCAACCATTAGGAAAACTATGCAAGGTGATATATTCAAAACATTATAAATAAATCAAGATGGATTTCTAAGAATGTTCATGTGTCCTATAGGTAGGCAAGAAAAGAGAAACAGAAGAATGCTAAACAGGGAAAACAAACAGAAAACAAGTAGTAAAATGGCAGACTTAAGCCAAAATGTATCATTAATTACTTTAAATGTAAATGGTCTAATCCCAGTAATTAAAAGATAGAGATTGGCAGAATCAATTAAAAACATGATACTGACTGGCATTTCAGATAAAATAGGTGCAAGCAGAAAACTGAATAGAAACCAGTAAGACTACCAGTAATGTTTTGCTTTGGAGGGAATCACCTGTACTATATAGTAAAAGCACAATTTCCTGTAATGTTATATGCATGCTAATAGTAGCGTGCAGGATGATGTTTGTGGTGTATGAACATGTAAAAAAAAATAGTTGTAGAGACAAGATGGTGGACGAGAAACACCTCCAGCCAGAGCATTTCTGCAAGGAGAAATTTTAGATTAAAGAGAAAAACATAGGCAAATATAGATCAGATGTGGAAGGGTGCCTGAACCTACAGGAGACTCCACTGGAAGATGTTACAGATCACAACTGGAAGGAGAAAGGCATGGGGAGGGATTAAGCCCTGAGAGGCTTGGAGACGAGTGAGAAGGGTAGGTGGAGCGGTTAAAATTCCCCTCCCTTCCTTCTCAGGCTGCTGGTGGGCTCCTGAGCTGCTGGAGAGCCCTGCTGACACCAGCCCAGAGACTCTTCCACTAGTCAGCAGAGAGCCTCTTGTGGACTGGACACCAGGCTCCCAGCTCTCTTGCGGTACCTCCCACCCCACAGACCTGAGGTGGTCGGCAGGTGCCATATTGCTTCTCTGCCCACTGGGTGCCTTTGTCCTCCCTAGGGGAGCTCAACTCCTCAGTATCCATTTTGCTTGTCCCCACACAGACATTTCACAACTATGGCCCAGACTGCAGGAGCCACAGGGGTCCAATGAGTTCTAGGAGATCTGTAGGACTCCAGAGTCCCGTCATTGTGGAAGGACTGCCTCTCAGAATGCAGTCCTTCCTCCACCTAGTCCTTCATTCTCCCCTTACCTTCCCTTACCTGTGGCTGCCAAGAGAGACAATTTAGCCACCACTCAGAGGCCTCTACAGGGAACGGGGCTTGGACCTTTCTTTTTTGGGCCCTGCAGTGGACTGAGGGGAGCTTAGACTGAGAACTCCCTTCCTGCCAGCCATTCCTGGTGCTACTTGCCTTGTAAGTTTTTTTCTTTTTTTAGTGATCACCAGCCCAGTACATCCTGTCTTGGGAAGGCCTGGGGTCCCAGGTATCAGAAGAAGTGAATTTCAATTTAGACCAGTGTTCCCCAACCTTTTTGACACCAGGAACCGTTTTCATGGAAGACAATTTTTCTATAGACTGGTACATACTGGGGGATTATATTCAGATGATTCAAGTGCATTACATTTATTGTACACTTTGTTTCTATTATTATTACATTATAATATATAATGAAATAATTATACAACTCATCATAGATTGGGGACCGCTGGTTTAGACTGGAGCCCATTCCCTGCCTAAAGCTGCTATCTCTGAAGTAAACTTAATGAGAACTGTTTCCGCACTGTGTTGGGCCACATCTCTGATCAGTGAGTGGCAGCTGCCAGGCTTGACTTTCTTGACCCTGTGTACCTGAGATATCTGTAGGAGGAGGAGAGGAGGAGCAGAGGATGTGGGGGGCATTCTGGAAAGTGTCTGCTCAATGTTTGGCTGTGGAATTTTCCTGGGATAGGAACACGTGGGGCTAGACCAAAGGGCGGCAGTGTTGCTGAAGCAGGTGAGATGGTCTCAGTGGGGCCAGCTGTGTAAATCACTCCTATTTTAAGTCGTGTATCCATTTGCCTGGGCACATTAGAGCTAACCATTTGCCTGCCACTCTCATCTTGGATACCAAGAAGAGAGGGGTGGGGAGAAGAGTGGTTAGAAGCTTATTTACTCAGTTCAGGTGAGAGCACAAATGGGAAAGGTTAGTGTTTTAAGTGAGGAAGTGGAGAACAAGGCTAAGAGCTGGAGGCAGATATATTTCAGGATGTTTTGACAGTCCAAGAGGGCCGTTGGCAGATGTCGGTCCTAAAAAGAGATCAGAATGGCTGTGTGTGGGGACTTGCTATTCTAGATGCCAGTCTGAGAAAAGTTCCTTTTTCCCCCCCAAGTCCTATTACTTCAATTTTTTTCCAGTAGTTCTTATTATTTGGTACATCCATTAGGAGACTGATTTAGTTGCATAGAACCTGGCCCAATTTTATGCCTGGACCTAAGGTGTGCTTTTCCTTTGCCAGCTTTTGACTCCATGGAATCAAGCTGGCCCTTTTCAAGGCCAAGTTCAAATTTGAGAGTGCATCAGCATCACCTGGAGGGCTTGTTAAAACCGAGATTCTTGGGCCCTGCCCCCAGAGGTTCTGATTCATTAGGTCTGGGATGGGCATGAGAATCTGCATTTCCAACAAGTTCCCAGAAGCTGCTGCTGCTTGCTCTGGGACTACACTTTTATTTTTTTAGATTTTTTAAATTTGATTTTAGCGTATTATGGGCGTACAAGTGTTAAGGTTACTTATATTGTCCATCCCCCCCACCCCCCTCGAGTAAGAGCTTCAAGCATGTCCATCCCCCAAACGTTGCTCTTCTTACTCGTTGTGGTTGTATATACCCGTCCCTTCTTCCCCCCTCCCACCCTCCCGACACCCAATAAATGTTACTCCTATATGTCCACTTAGGTGTTGATCCCTTAAAAACCAATTTGCTGGTGAGTACATGTGGTGCTGGTTTTTCCATTCTTGAGATACTTCACTTAGTAGAATGGGTTCCAGATGTATCCAGGAATATACAAGAGGTGCTATATCACTGTTGTTTCTTAAAGCTGAGTAGTACTCCATGGTATACATATGCCACATTTTATTAA